AGAAACACCTGAAGGAGCAGGACCTGGCGCGGGGAGGGGGTCTACCTGGGGAGGACCTGGAGCGAGAAAGAGCGGCGAGGGGGGGGCGAGAGGCAGTGCGGTAGGGAAAGAGACGGTAGAAGGGAACAGACTCGTCAAAGGTGACGTCCTGAGACGCAAAGACACGGCGCGAGGTGGGCTCGTAAAACTGCCAGCCAGGCGCGTCAGGAGGAAAACCAAGGAAGACGCAGGGAATGGCGCGAGCAGAGAGCTTGTCCGCGGTGAGATCGCGGACAAAGGCACGAGCACCCCAGACCCGAAAACGCGACGCATCGCCAACCTCCCCCGTCCACAGCAGCGTGGGCGAGGTCTCCGGCAAGGAGACACGGGGCCAGAGGTTGAGCTGATGCGCGGTGTACCGGACCGCGAACGGCCACAGAAAATGGGGAGCCGCCGCATGGATCATGGAGGTACGAGCGACCTCCATGACTAAGCCAATGCGGCGCTCGGCAACCCCATTCTGCTGCGGAGAGGCCGGAAGCGTGAACGACTGGGTGATGCCGTGCTCCGCACAGAAGGCTGCCAAGAGGTCAGAGGAGAACTCACCACCTCTGTCAGAGTGCAGACGCAGGACAGGAAAGTCCCGCTCGAACCGCTCGCGGAGCTGGAGACGCACAGCGCGGATCCAGGGGATCAAAACAGCAGGGACGTCTCCCTTGCTGCGCAAGGGGAAGACCGTGGTGTAACGCGTGTAGTCGTCGACAACCAGCAGAAAGTACCGCTCACGGCCCTGTCCCTGGACGCGGGCTGGGCCCCACACGTCCAGGTGAAGCGTCTGCAGGGGAGCCTCTGTGGGAGGAAACGAGGAGGAGTGAGGAGCGGCGCGCTGCCGCCCCTCGACGCAGGGAATGCAGGGCGGCGCAGGCGAGGGAGGGAGGGCAGGTAGAGACCTGGGAAGCCCAGAGACCAGAGAGCGAGAGTGCATGCTACGAAGGCGAGGCAGGGAGGGGTGACCAAGGCGGTGGTGCCACAGGAGCGTGTCGTGCGACAGGCGGCGGCACTCACACTGGGTAGCTACCTGAGCAGACGCGTACAGCTGCGGAGACAAAGGAGCGGAGCGTGAAACAGTGGTGAGGGTGTACAGACTGGACCCCGGCTCACGAGTGAACGTGGCCAGGTGGCGGCCAGTCTTGGAGCACGTGCAGATCGCCACACGCTGCCCTCCAGGAGTCCAGGTGTCAACCCAGTGATCCTGGAGGACGGCGTTGCTCACCAGGTTCGTAGAGAACGAGGGAACGTGGAGACCTGACAGCTCACCAGACGGGACCGCCGGGCACGGGAGCACAGTCGTGGCTCGTGCAAGCACTGGGCCCCCAGAGGGGTCAGCCAGGGAGACAGGGACAGGTGCAGGGAGGGGAGTGACGGTGGTGCTATCGCGAAAGAAACAGCGGGAAGCACCAGAGTCAAGTGTAAACGTGTGCAAGGCCTGAGCCGACTCAGTACCAAGGGGAGCAGACTCACTAGCACCTAGGGCTGCAGCCCTTATACCGGGGTCAATACCAGGGTCAGGCGGCACACACAAGTAGCAGTCACCCTCAGCACTAACAGTCAATGCATACATGGCAGCAAGAATAACATCATAGTCCAGATCAAAGATAGGCACATCACGCCTAAGCAGCTCTGCCCAGTTGGGGAACTCAGTAGCATCAGGATACTTGGTACGCCAGGCGTCACTAAGCCTAGCAAAACAACGATACTCAGTGTGAAAACCGTTGCAGGGGCGACCCTTGCGGGGGCCAGTACGAATGACATAGGGGCAGCGGTCAGAACCCCGAGACGCCCCACGCCCAGCATACCAGTCATTGAGCTGCTGGGAGGTGAGGGGAGGAAGCTGCTGCTGCTGCTGTGGCTGCTGCTGCTGCTGCTGCTGCTGCTGGCCACCCTTCTGGCCAGATCCACCCCCACTCCCACCTCCACCGCCACTGCCGCTGCCTCCTCCCCCACCACCGCCGCCGCCGCCTCCACCGCCCCCGGTCCTGCCGCCACCCCACCCACCGCCTCCACCCCCACGGCCACCCCCACCACCTCCACCACCCCCGCCGCCTCCACCACCGCTCCCTCCACCGCCACCTCCGCCACCCCTGCCACCCTTGCCGCCCCTGCCACCACCACGCTTCCCACCAGGAGCGGAAGCCGCTGCGACCTTCTCCGCACCGAGGAAGTCGACAGCAGTAGCAGCAGAGGCGTAGGAGGGGTCAAGAGGGGAGGGGGAGCACCCCTCAAAGAGGGGAGTGCGGGGAGTGCCACGAGCAGCACCGACAGCGAGGATGTTCTTCTCTGCTGCGACCAGCTGCTGCTCGAAGTCGTCCAGAGTGATAGTTGGAGGATCCTTGGCAAGGAAGTAATCTCTGACAGAGCGAAGAGTGTCAGGGAGGCGGGTGACGAGGATGTAGAGGGTGAAGTACAGCGGGGGGCGGTTCGTGGCGAGGAACTCGTCGGTAAGAGCGGCTCGAAAGCGGGCGTCACTAGCGCGGAGGTGAGTGATAAGGTCGGCAGCAGTGTGAAACGAGGCTAAGTCTGGGAACAGGTAAGGCAGGATGAGACTACCAACGGTGGCTGTGGCCGGGGCGGAATAGCGGGCAACGACAGCATCATACAGCGTCTGAGCAGTCTTAAGCTGGTTGAAATGCGCGCGCTCAGAGATCGGTAGGTGATTGCAAATAATAAGGCGCGCGACTGCATCGCGGAGCTCCCACTGTGCTCGTTCAGGGGCAGGAGCAGTCTCAGCGGGAGTAGGGACAGTGCCGGTCACATAGGCTAGCAGTGACACTCCGTCTGCGACGTCAGTCATAAGGTAAAGGCGCAGGTCACTAAGCCAGGTGTCAAACTCGATGGGGCGGCCGTCAGACTCAAAGGCGAGAACAGTAAGGGTCGCCATGGTTGCAGCGCAGGCAAAAGTAGCAGGCTCAGGCAGCAGGCTCAGGCAGCAGGCTCAGGCAGCAGGCAAAGGCTGCAGGCTCAGGCAGCAGGCTCAGGCAGCAGGCTCAGGCAGCAGGCACAGGTAGCAGGCAAAGGCTGCAGGCTCAGGCAACAGGCAACTGTAGCAGGTAAGGAAACACGCAGATCAGTGACAGGCCGCGCGCAGGCTGGCGGGGCGCGACGAGAGCTGCGCGGGCGGTGCGCGGGCCGCGTGCGGACTGCGCGCGGGCTGCGCGGGCTGCGCGCGGGCTGCGCAGGCTCAGTGCGGGCCGCGCGGGCTAGGCGCGGGCTGCGCGCGGGCTGCGCGGGCTCAGTGCGGGCCGTGCGGGCTCGGCGCGGGCTGCACGGACGGTGCGCAGGGCAGCTGCGGGCCGCGCGGGCGCAGGGCGGGCTGCACAAGCGACCTACGGGGCGCGACGCGGCTGGCAGCAGCTGTGCGCGGTAAAAAAAAAGGCGTGCGCGCGCAGCCGAGGCGCGCGCGGGCAGCAGGCTAGACAGACAGGTATGTAAGGCAGGTAGGCAGGCCGTTGGGGAGGTAACTTAGTACATGGTGGGCCCTTAAGCTTAGGTCTAGGAACCTGCTCTAGATGCCATGTCGAGAGAATCAGGCAAGGTTGGATTGACTATCGAGAGTTTGGTACAAAATAACACAACCCTAAAGTGTTATCCCCTATAACATCTACCCCACTACAGCCTACCAATATATATCACACATATATATCATTTGACACGATGCTGTCACAATGCTAGGCCAAAACGAGAAACAGGCAAGAAGGGTTTTGACTAACAAGCATAGGGATACATATATGCAAACCCTAGAAGGGCTGTACTCGCTATAGAGTACCCCACTGCAGGCTAGACAACCATCACATTCTGACAGATGCCAAATTACAAGGAACAGAAAGCAAGCTTTCTCAATGTTAAGTATTTCTATCAGCACGGGGGTGAACAGGTTTTCCAGTCAGTATCTGATTGAGAGGGGGGAGGGGGCAGGGCTGACTATTCAAATAAAACCACTCTGATTGTTTGGGCCCCTAAAAATTTTTAGTCTGAGTCCCATTTTCCAAACAATGAATACTCTGATTTAAGTAGAACTCTGAAAGTTTTTAGATACCATAAGACTTAGGCAGGTTTTACTACTAGCGGGTCTTTTGCAAAAGTCCCGAGGAATGTGTTTTCTTCGAAGTAACATGATTGGCGTAGAGGATTTCGTACTCTATAGTATGAAAACTCATTATCCAGTAAGCAACTACTCTGAAATTTTCAGTACTGAAAAAAACACTGGTATGAAGCACTCATTTTTCAAAATCAGCCAACTCTGAAAAATCAGGAATGTCAGGAAAATCGTCTGAAATTTCAGACAATCAGACTAAAATAGTCTGATATCGTCAGCCCTGGGAGGGGGGGGGGGGGGGTGATTGAAATGAGACTATGGTTGGTCTGGCCCTGCAGTGGTGGTGTGGCAGGTATATTCCAGTGCCTTCCACCTGTACCTTGCAATGGCAAGCAACGCGGGCCCCCTAGTGTTGCATCTACAAATGGCAGCTGCAATGTTGCTTTGTTGTTGTAAATAGTTGGACATGCAGCCTCACATTTCAAGCCAATGTTGTCCCTAAATGTGCCTTGCACCCAAAATGCTGCAGTGCTAGCATACCTAAATCCATGCATCAAAATGAAGTTGGATATTGCATCGTGCCTGTTACATAACCAAAGAGATGCAAGAACAGGCAGTGTTTTGTGTTGAAATATCGTTAACACAAATGCATCAATGGGCAATTAGCCTTGAATGTGTTGCAATTTGTAAATCCTGTCCTACCAACAATTCACAACCAGTTCAGCATTCTCAAACTGCTCTTCCTAACTCCAAAGCCTTGTTACCCACTCCAGTCCATTCACACACAGCTGCACTTGAAGAGGCACAACACAAAGGAACTCTCCACCTCATCTGTCACTCTGCTGCAATCTTCTGCTGCTGCCATGCCACAAACCATGCTCCTGTTGACTTGCTTAGCAAGGTTGTGCTGTCACTATTGCCTGCCTCACTAGTGCCCGGCTACAGGAGGAGCACCCGCAGCCATGCCACCCCCCATCACTGGCCCACTGCTCGGCCCCACCACCGACCCCCCTCCCCTGCCTCCTCCCCCTGCGCCATCATAGCCCCCTCCTCTCCCTCCCCTCCGCCCTCCCCTGGAGCGCCCCCCACCCCTTCGACCCCCTCCGCCTGCACCTCCCCCCCCATACATTGATCCCATGGCCCCACCCTGGGGTGCTACTCCAGCATTCATGCCAGGTGTCACGCCAGGTGCCATCCCAGGTGCCATCCCAGGTGCCATCCCAGGTGCCATCCCAGGTGCCATCCCAGGTGCCATGCCAGGTGCCATACCAGGGGCGCCCACTACACCTCCCATCATGCCAGCATTCACCAGCACAGGGTCATACATCACGTACCCTCCCCCAATCATGCGCCCTCCCCCTCCTCCCCTTCCCCCCCGCCCTCCTCCCCCACGGTACCCGCCCCTGGAGCCCCGTCCGCCCATGTACCCCGGGCCTGCGCCCATGATTCCGCCCCTCCCCCCACTGCCGCCACCACTGCGGGAAGTGACCACTGGCGTGTGCTGCACCTGTGGGTGCTGGTGCCCTGCAGGTGCTGCTGGGGTAGTACCGACCTGTAGAGAGAGAGTGTTGGTTGATGGGTCAGGGGGATGAGGGGAAAAGAGCACTGGGTCGTGAGTTCAGGGCATTAAGAGGTTGAATTGCAGGATAAATGTTTAAAGGGTGAAGATACTGGCTTCACAGCTTAGTAGAAACCCTTAACACTAAAATCAGACGGAAACTCATATCAGCCCACCATCAGAGCACACAGACGGATTTTCATTCTCTACCCAAATTGCAAATTCAGCCCCTTTACTCCCCACCGTTCTCACCTGCGTGGCAGGCTGCCCCTGTTGCACCTGCGCCTGCTTCGCCTGCTGCACCACCACTGCAGCAGGCTGACCAGCAGTAGCCGCCACCTGAGGCGCCTGAGAAGCCTGCGCAGCACCCACCGTGCCCTGCGCCTGCTCCACCACACCCTGATTCCCTACCACCGGCACTCCCTGCTGCCCAACCACTGCTCCCCCTGCCGCCTGTGCTGCTGCCTGCGCTGCCACCTGCGCCTGTTCCGCCTGTGCCTGTGGCGACGGCTCAAGCACTGGCGGAACAGGCGCTGGCACTGGCGCGCCCTGCACCAGCGGAACAGTCACAGGGGCTGCAGTGACCGCAGATAGCGTGTCCGGGGACACGGATCCAAACACCACTCCGTTCACAGGCAACGGTCCCCCTGGGGAAGGCACAGCGGGAGCCGCAGCGGCTGCAGCTGACGGGGGGGCCGCAGGGGCAGAAGGCGCAAGGGAATCCACAGGCGCGGGGGCGGAAGGCGCAGGGGGTGCGGCGGCAGCAGGGGCGGCAGCAGATGGGGCTGCTGCGTAGGAGGAAGCGGGGACGGGGCTGGCGGAGGGGAAGTGGCCTTGGGCAGCCATGGCTGCGGCAGCAACGACCTCAGATGAAACGACCTCGGCCCATTTGGTGAAAAAGCCAGAAGCGATTATGCGGTCCAGGCGATCGCGCAATTGTGCATCTGAAACGACAACAGTGGGCGGAAGACAACCGAAATGTGGTAAGGGTTGGCATGGGTGGCGTGAAGAGAGATTACGAGGTCGAATTGAGATCAAAAGGACAAGAAGTAAGAGGAAGGCGGAGAATATTTTTTTTGCATCAGGAAATGGAATGCGATAAGGAGGTAAGCCGAGGCATGATTACGGCCACGGACCTGTCTGTTGACGTGACGATCGTTAGATCAAGAACACAGCCAACCGACGGCTCGTGTGACACACAGAAAGCCGTGAATGGCTGCACAGACGTACACGTAAGGTGGATGGACGGGTCGATGGCGGTTTGGGAGCGCGACGCCAACGCCACGGCATGCGCCACACACCGATCCACCGCCTCCTTGTGATTCGCCGCGCTCGCGTCGCGCGTCGTCAACAGCCGCGCCGCATTCGCGACGGCATCAAGATCCGCGTCGCATAAGAAAGCCGCGGCGTTGTCATCAGTGATAGGGTCGTAGGAGAGGCACGACGTGCGCTCCTGCGTGTTGCGCCAGCTCAGCAGCGGCGACGCTCCGGCGGAGTCCATTCGCAGATCGAAAAGCGAACCGAAGTAAAGAACCTCAACGACGCTTCTCACGGCTCGATCCACCTCATCAGACTTATCCGCTGCTGCAGATTCTGCCGCTCCTCCTTCCTCTCGGCCTGCAACTTCCGCTGACTGGCCCGCCTCACCTGCTGTTGAATCCGTCTGCTCATCAGCCTTCTCCGCTGTTCCGTCGGCAGCCACTCCCTCTGCAGCTTCGACTGAAGATTCTTCAGCAGCAGCAGCCGCCGCAGCTGCAGCTGCAGCCGCGGCAGCCGCCGCCGCCGCCGCTGCTGCCTCTGCAGCCTCCTTCTCAGCCTTCTGCTGAATTGCGGCAGCGACGGCCTTCTCGCAATCGGACACCTGTTCATGCACGGCTGCCTGCAGCGGCGTGTAAAGCTTCTCATACTCCTCGATCAGCAACGACACCGTCAGCTTCTGCTTCAGAACCTCTTCCTGCTCCGGCTGAAGCTTCTTCCCCGCAGCCTTCGCCTCCTCGATGTCTGCAATCCGCTTCTTCTTCTTACGGAGCGCGCGGAGCCGCTTCGACATCATGACCATGACCGCACCCTCGGGCCGCAAATAACCGCCATCCTCAAGCCCTACACCTGCTCCCGCAACGAGTTGTCCGGGCGTAGCGCTTGAAGTGGTAAGATCTTCGGCAATTCCGCCAGTCGTCGTGGGTTCCCCCGTGGAAGCCATGATTCTCCTACGACTGATCGGAGTCGCACGTGAAACTAGTAAGCGCTTACTTAGATCTAAGTCAAGTAAACGCTACACGGTTACGACACGGGTCGATAACACGAATCCAGACGGCAGTAAACCACACGCAGGATCGGACAAATCTGACCTCGATACTCGCCTGAACCGCAACGGGACCTACCTTGAATTGGGCATACGGTAGGTTACTGATCGGCAGACCAAGGATGGGACTGGAACATACGAATCTGGGTGATGGAGGTGTGCTGAAACGGATTCGGAGTTTCCAACTTCAAATCCAACCCAGCACGAGACCCTCCCTGCACTCAACTAGATCTCGCACAGCGAAACCCGTTACGGCGTACAACGCCAGCAGCTTGTCGAAATTGACGAGGGAATTGATCGCTACCTGGAAAATGTCGCAGGCGTACACGTGAAAACGTTTTCTGGGGCTGAAAAGTGATCTGGCGGCTGCTAGTGCCTAAACCGAACCGAGCCAGCAAGCTAGGTGGTGGCCCTCGCGACTACAAGCTCGTTTCTGCCATGCCTACTCGAGGCTCGGCAGCAGGAAACCAAATCAGAGACGTTGGTGCGGCGGGCGGGATGGCATGTGTGTGGTTGGGAGGTTATGCAGGGAAGGCATGCTATTTCTCGTGTGCGTGGCAGGTCTTAGGGGCCTGTGGGATCAAATCGCAGCCGTCGAATCTGCACTCTCGGTGCAGATGCGGCGCGTTCGTGAATTCCAATCAAACTTCGAGAACTTACTTCATGTAGGCCGGGGTATTCATCAGTAGGGGCTGAAACAGAGGAAGTCCGTAACTGTAATAAAAATATTTCGTATGCCGCAGGATACTTCTAATTATTGAATGAGCTAACCTTGTTATAGGCTCATTGAATATGGTTTAGAATTGAAGTAAACTCTGCTAGCGTCACTACTCTTTGATAAGGGAATCAAGAAGTCCTCCACAGGCATCATCCAGCAGATCCAATACCTGCATTCCATTAAAAAAGGCAATAGAGTTAGCCCGGCAACAAGTTCTCTGGTTTCACATGGATCTGAACTTCTGGCGGACACACATAAAGAACTTACTGTCTCAAATCCCTGTGCACCACCATAGTAAGGGTCGGGGACCTCATCGTAATCAAGCTTGCGGCAATAGGAGCACATGAGCTTAACCTGGATAGTGTAGCACATCAAGGAAAACAATAACCTCTTTAGACCTTCTTGAACAAGCTGTGGAAACTCATGGAAAGACAATGAGTGATTGTGGTGAGAAAGTCCAAGCACATGGCGTCAGAAAGAGCAGGATGGCATGCAAGCGACCAGATCAGGACCTGATTCAGATACCTTATCAAGTCCATCTCTTGGCAGGTCATGAGCACGCTGCCACTGGCGGAAAGCACGGCCTATGTCATCTGCACATGTGATGGCAGCCGCAAGTCAAGCAGGAAAGAAACCACAGCCAAGGGAAATCGAAGGGGAGGTTGGAAAGGGAGCAGGGGCCGGGAAGGGGAGGGAAGAAGGGGGGATGGGAAGGGACTGGTAGAAGATTCCTAACCACAATGATCAACTCCGTTTCGGCCAGGTCTGATTTCTCCTCACAGCATCCACATACCCCGTTAGAGGTCAAGCACCATCCCTCCCCACCCCCCCATGCCACGTCATGTCACGAACCCAGGTTGCTGCGATCCATTGCAAGGATGATATCGAAGGTCGAGAAGTCCGACGGTCGGATGGGCCGTGACAGCGACGTCAGGGCAATGCCGCGTCGCTCTGCCGCCTTGCGCATGCGCGGATCCGCCGGGTTGCCCTGCGGAGTAACAGGAGACAAGCGTTGCGCGGACACAAGGGGGAAACCGAAGAATCTGGGGCAGGGCAGCCGTGGATCGGAGCACAATTGAGCTGCTTTGCTTGAGAACGAAGTGCAGCCCACAGCGAGCGCGTCGCGTGTGCTGGTGACGTGGCGTACCTCGTGGTAGTCGATGGTTCCGGCGGAGTCGACGTGGAAGCGGTGCGCGAGGCCGCGCTGCTTCACCATGTGCGTGAACACGCCCTCCGCGGACGGACTGCGACAAATGTTGCCTGAAGAGGAGAAGGGATCGGGTGACAAATAGAAGGGGACTTGCGGAGGTCAAGGAGGTCACCACGACACGACGCGTACGGGTTGAGGCATATGGGAATGGCGCTTGCACTTGGACGAAGGACACGGGACGGGAAGGTTGTAGGAAGAGTTGATGACGAGGGGGGAGCAATGCAGCGCGATAAGGGTACCAAGACATTTAATCCGACGTGGAATGCTCGGTCGGATTGGCGTGCCACGTGACGGGCAAATCATTCTCACCCAGGCACACGAACAGCACGGAGATCTTCGATCCGTCAGCGGAATTGCCGCCGTCAGCAGCGGCCATTGCGACTGCTGGACGACTTGAGCTGGACAGCTGTCGTGCTGCGATGCTGAGGTTGTTATAATCTACTACCGCGCGAGGATGGTGACTGAAGAGAGCGGTGCGCTCGGGGAGAAGCGACGAGGTCAGCAGGCGGCCTGTGGAGGCCTGAGCTACATTCCGCGAGGGACGGGAGCGGGTGGAGGATGCGCGCCGAGATGGCGCGACGGCGAGCGGCGACGAGGCGAGGGGGAGAGCAGCGACCTGCATTGGATGCGACGGGGAACCGACCGCAAATGCCGCTAGCGAATGGTGGTGTCAGTGGGGCTGGCGTAGTGTGTTGGTTGGGTGGAAGGAAGGTGGGCTTGTGTGGGGAGGGTTGAGCAGGGTGACTTTTTGTACTCGGTGTTGAGAATCTCGTTACTGCAAGGGACATTTAGATATACGTTTTCTTTCATAAAAAGTAAGCACCTGTTTCCCAAACCTGTGTTGTAGGTTTAGAGGTTGACGCCGATTACATTTGGTCGCATACCGTCGCATTCCCTTGCCTGCCTTAGCATTCTCGTCGCAGGCCCCGTAGAACTTCTCGTCGCGCGTCGTTCAACTCCTATGCACACCACGGCCGCCACCAGTCCGTCCCTGCGTGCTTTCCCTCAGCCGCGCCATGACTTCGCGCGGTTCCCGTCAATCCGCCATTTTGCTCCTTCCCACATACCACATCTTACTCAGTGCCACTTTCAATCCTCGCCGTTAACGACACGTGTCGCTCCCGCCGTGCACAGCGGGGAGCTCAAAGAACGGGACGCGTTTTTCCGCGAATGGCGCGTGGGTGGCGGCGGCGTGGCTGCCTTGCGGTCGCTCTCTCCTTCTACCCTGCTTCGCGCTGCTTTGCTGGCGCATGTGCGTGTAAAGGGAGGCTGGAGAACGCACGCGGTGAGGGAACCGGCAGTCGCGGGGGAGAGAAGGGGAGAGAGCGGCAAAGGCGAGGAGGAGGATGAGGAGACAGAGCATAGGGAGTTACGCGGAGATCCCGATGGGCTGGTGGCGCGGGGTGAAGGGGATGGTGCGGCTGGGAGAAAGGCGGATGCGGAGGATGGTGGAGAGACGTTGGAGGATGTGGTGGGGGATATGCTGCCCAGATGGCTGCTGGACAGGTAAGATGATGGATGGCTTGGCGCGGAATGGTATCACGTGGCAGAGTGTGGCAAGTTCATGGTTTGGTCTGGTCTGGTCTGGACTGGTCTGGACTGGTCTGGTCTGGTCTGGTCTGGTCTGGTCTGGTCTGGTCTGGTCTGGTCTGGTCTGGTCTGGTCTGGTCTGGTCTGGTCTGGTCTGGTCTGGTCTGGTCTGGTCTATGGTGTGGTGTGGTGTAATATGGTATGGTATAGCACGGTCAGGCCACGGCATGCAGCCAGAACCCTAGCCCCACTCCATCTGCCCCTGCTTCAATCCCCCCCATCCCGTTTCTCGAGACGCCTCCAAACTCAATCTCTCTGATTTCATCCCCCTCCATCGTCACTCACACCTCCGCGTCGTTCTCCTTTTCCCCTCCTCCTCGCCCTGTCATCTCGTGATGCGCTGTGGATGCATGCATGCAGGGCGTGCGAGTTAGGGTTTGAGCGCCCCACAGAGACCCAAAGGCAGGCTCTGCCGGTGCTGCTCACCGGCCACGACGCCATCCTTCACGCACAGGTGCTTATAAGCTATAACGAGGCTTTCCTTCCATCGGGGCTCAACGTGTGGGTGGGAGGGATGTGCGCCTGTCCTTGTTAAAGTGTGTCTGTGGGGAGGCACAGGCACAGCTCCCCCTGTCCACTGTACTTCTCTTCCTTCACACTCACGGCTCAGTTCCTTGTTACTGTTTAAATCCTCAGAAGGTTTGTCTTTCCTCTGCACATCTCCCTTTTGTTCCCCCTCTCCCTCCTCCTCCCGTCCCTCCTCCGACACGTCCCTGCCTCCTCCGCCTCCCTCGCGCGCCCTCTATGCGAGCTGCACCAGACGGGGTCGGGCAAGACGGTGGCGTTTCTGCTGCCGCTGCTGGCAAGCATCGACCCCTCGCGCAGGGCGCTGCAGGCCATGGTGCTGCTGCCCTCGCGCGAGCTCGCCATGCAGGTGCGCTGCCATGCCATGCAGGTGCGCTGCCATGCCATGCAGGTGCTCTGCCATGCAGGTGCGCTGCGCACACACAGCCAGGGGAAGGGTTTCAGAGGCGTCTGAAAAGGTGTTGCAGTAGCTCGTCGTGCTCTCGTTCACGCACACACGAACTGCTGGTGGGTTGACGGGCGGGTGGGTGTGTGCGGATGGCAGCGGGGGGTTTGGGTTTCGGGGTTAAGGTCTAGGGAGAATTGGAGCTTCTGCATCCATGGGGACCTGGGTGAGATTTCAAGGGATTGAGAGTGAGTGCATCCGTTACTTCCCCCCTTCTGCCGCCAATACCTCTCCCTCCCCGTCTTCTCCCTCGCCCGTTCCGTGTCACGCACTGTCTACCTGTACTCTCCTTTTCGCTTTTCGCCTTTTGTATTCTCAGGTGGGGCGGCTGACACGCAGGCTGGGGGTGGTGAAGGGGCGGGGGGAGGGGGAGGCGGATGGGAGTGAGGACGAAGGGGAGGAGGGTGTGGATGAGGGAAGTGGTGAGGGAGAGATGGAGGGGACAGGAGAGGAAGAGGAGCAGCGGCGGAGAGGGAAGAAGGGGCGGATGGGCAGGCAAGGAGGAAAGGGGAAGGGTGGGGAATGGAAAAGGGCGAGTGGGAGGCAAGGAGGCAAGGCAGGCCGAGAGAGGGTGGGTGTGATGGTGGTGGGTGGGGATGGAGAGTCCAACAAGCCAACGAGGAGACAAAGTGTCTGGCTCAAGGTACCTCGGATGCTGTGCTGACTTGGTGACATGCTGCCACTCTAGGTGGTCAATTCTTATGCATTACCTCTCCTCACATGGAACTTCCTTCCCCACCATCCGCATCCGTCTTCTCCCTCATCATCTGCTTCTAACCCTCCTCTCCATCCGTCCCTCCTCATTCCATCTCCCCCATTCACTCCCTCCCTCCACTCCCCCGTCTCTCCCCACTGTCTCCTCCCATCAAGGCGGAGCCCCCGCATGTGCTGGTGGGCACGCCGGGCGCCATTCTCGCCCTGCACCGCCGCCACCCCCTCGCCCTGCACTCCCTGCGCTTCCTCGTCGTCGATGAGGTGAGGGGAGGGGGGGAAGGGGAGAGGGGGGAATGGGGGGTAAGTGGACCGGGGGGAGAGGTGATGGATACAGTGGGTGGCGTGAGAGCTGGAATGGGGCTGAGATGAGCAGTAGATGGGGTGTATCGCAGGGACAGGACAGTCATGAGGGCGGCGGGAATGTCGCAACTGGCAGTGGGTCAGACGCATTGTGACCATAGCCACACCCACCCACACCCGCCCACACCCACCCACACCCACCCACACCCACCCACGCCCATGCATGAGGCAGAGATAAGGCCAGCACAGGCCGCACCGCGCTAACTACCGCTGGCCCCTGCTAGTTTGCCTCTCTCAGTCTACCTGATCTGCCTCTCCTCCTTTCGATCTTTTCCTCTCCTCCCTGTTGCCTGTCCTCCCCTCCCTCGTTCCCTTCCCCTCGCCCCTGTCCAGGTGGATGCAGTGTCGGTGTCATCCAAGCTGTCCGGATGGCAGTCCCTCCACAAGCTCATCTCGCTCTGCCCGCCGCCATGCCAACACGCACTCGCAGGGCAAGCAGGGGCCGGTGGTGTTGAGAGGAAGGGGGAGCGCAAGGGCGGTGGAGGGGAGAGGCAGACGGTGCTGGCGACGGCGACGGTGCCTCAAGCGAAGAGGTTCATACGCGATGTGATTCACTGCAAGTGGGTCAACGTGAGTCAACGGGGGCCGTTGGAAGTCAAAGAATGGTGAAGTGGCAAAGAATGCACGTGCATGGTTTCAGGGAAAACGATACGTCAAATGAAGCTATATTTTCTGTCCTTTCCTTGTCACCGTTTCCGCTCTATGTGGTGGGTTCATGGTTGTATCTCGTCAATGCAAACAGGTTTATGTGGTCTCGCCTACCAGTATGTTGTTGCTTGCACAAGCACAGATGACTCGCATCACCCATGCACATATCACTGCCTGCTTGCTTATGTGTGCCCCTCTCCCCTCGCCCCTCGCCCATCGGCCCTCACCCCTCGCCCGTCGCCCGTCGCCCCTTGACCCTTGGCCATCGCACCTTGTCGCTACGAGCATGGCAGGAGGCAGTGGTGTATCTGCACGTGCACTCCACCATGCCACCAGGGCTCATCCACCGATATGCCGTGAGCGCTCCCATGCATCACCACCCACCTCCCTGTTCAACGCTTTTCCCTTTGGGGCTCTAGCATTGCTCAGATAGGCTCCATTTCTCTACATCGCTTGAACTTCACCTTTTTATCATTGACTGCATGCCTTCTTCAACTGCTACTCTACTGGCTTCTCTGTTGCTCTCTTCCCTCCCTTTACTTGCTGAACACTAACCGCCTGAAAACATCAGACGTGCTCATCCCCGTCCAAGAAGCTTCCTCTGCTATTGGACCTGCTACAGGTGGATCGTCCCACTGCTGCCATGGTGTTTGTCCGGCAACTGGTGAGCCGTGCCATGCCATGTTATGCCATCACGTGCCATGTTATGCCATCACGTGCCATGTTATGCCATCACGTGCCATGTTATGCCATCACGTGCCATGTTATGCCATCACGTGCCATGTTATGCCATCACGTACCATGCTATGACATGACGTGCCATGCTATGCCATGCCAGCCATTATGCATTCTTCTCCTGCAAGCATGCGTGCCACCATCGGCCACTCATGCTCTTGCCCCTTTCCGGTTGTCTTCCTACCTCCCCCTGCCTCCCGCGCTCTCAGAGTGACAAGGAGCGCAGTGCAGGCAAGGAGAGTCCGTGCCGTGTCGTTGCATCCTTCCTCTCCTCTCACCTCACCTCCACTGCCAGCCAGCCATTCACCAACGATTCTACTGTTAATGATGGTGCTAAGGTGGAGGAGGAGGAGGTGGAGGGGGTTACCATGTCAGGGCATGGCACAGAGTCTGCGAGTGGTCGGGGGCATGGCACCAATGGGGGAGAGCCTCTGGTGTGGTGTTTGGAGGAGGAGGGAAATGTGCATGCTCGCACCAATGCTCTAGAGGTGAGAGATGTGGGCGATTTGCGGCTCATGAAGTTGTGAATATGGTTGATGCGCTTACTGGTTGCCAGTGAACGTGAGTATGGACTTTTCAGGTGCCTCGGAATTTGTGCAGATTCCGACGTGTTCGCCTCCTCCATCTGTTCCACTGACTGTCTTTGTTTCCCGTGCAGGAGTTCCGGTCGTCGTCAGCTCCGCATCGCGTCATGGTAACCACTGACTTTGCATCGCGAGGCCTTGATATTCCCGCTGTCTCGCACGTCTACAGCGCTGACTTGCCGGGGGACACTGTTGTTTACACGCACCGTGCTGGCCGCACAGGAAGGGACCCGTTTGGGGGACAAGGAGGGGTTGTGACATCACTAGTAGGGAGGTCGGAAGTTTTTGCTGTGGAACGAATTGCCAATGAGCTGAACCTTACCTTTGAAGTGGTATGTGATTCTTGAGAGCGAATAAGTGGCTGGTTTTGTTTCAAAAAGGGCAACTCAAGGCTAACATGCCTCTATTGGGTGCCATACTATGTTGGGCTGATAAAAGCCCTTAGGATCTTTTACAAGGGTAAACTCTGGGTAGGAACAATGTCATAGCGGAAGAGTTTAATGAAGAGGTTTGAACCACCTTGCGCTAGTATGTGAGGGCAAAGTAGATTGATTAAAACAAGGAGATACAAGATTATATATAAGAGTACAAGGAATACGAAAAGGATACGGTTATAATTACTTTACTGTTGCTGTTGCGGTTCGATACAGTGACGACTCGGGCAACTGCTCTGCAAAGAGTCAGTTGTGTTGTGTGTCCTTGCTGTCGCGCTGTATTTGTCAGGTCAAAGGTCGCTGACCTTTGACTTTCGTGTAACCTCCAGCAACCTCTCAACCTCCGAGGGTTGACTCGCGGGTGCTTCGATATGATTCACCTCGTTTCTGGTGTAGCGTTTCGACACGACAGAGGCGCTTACGACTTGTTGTTTCCAACACTCCCCTTCGCTTCTGGAGTGTCGCTGCTGATGACGTGGCCCTGTCCAGTCAGCAGCATGCAGTACTCGAATTTCTGAGTTAGGTAGTCAGCTGCCATCTCGGATGTGGGGCAGTATGACAGCTCGAGTCTCCCCTTCTCGATCTCGTCCTTCACGAAGAAATAGCGCAGGGCGATGTGTTTCGTCCTGTTCGCGAAGCCGTTCTTGTTGGCAATGCGAATTGTCGACTGGTTGTCGCAGAACAGGGTGAAGTTGGGTAACTCGGCTAATTTCGCTTCTTCCAGCAGCTCGCGAAGATAAAGTCCTTCCTTGGTGGCTGAGCAGAGTGCAATGTATTCTGCTTCGGCTGATGAGAGGGCGATTAACTCCTGCTTGCTCGACTGCCAGGAGATAGGTCCGATAGGTTCGAGGCGGTAGATGTAGCCGGTGCGCGAGCGTCTGTTGTCGGAGTCGCCAGCGTGATCGGCGTCGACGTAGCCGATTAACTTAGTCGGTGTAGTTGCGTTCTTGTGGTAATTTAGGCCGATCGTCGGGGTGCTGACGAGGTAGTGAAGAGCGCGGTCGAGCTCCGCCAAATGCTCTGCTTCGGGTTTCTTGAGGTAGGTGGCGAGCTGGCTTGCGGAGTATGAGAGGTCAGGACGGCAGATAACAGCTGCAAAGAGGAGGCATCCGAGCTTCCTCTGGTAGTCGCGTATGCCGGCGGGCTTGAGTAGAGCGGATCCTCCCTTGTTGCTTCCAGTCGTGTAGCGGTACGGCGTGGAGATGGCGGTCGGCGTGAGAGCGAAGCGTTTGGCGATGGTGTCGGCGTATTTCGCGGCGTTGAGGTAGATCGCGTCTTCCTCCTCCCGGATGTTGAGGCCGAGGTACTGTGTGACGGTAGATGAAACCGTGAGCGTGAGGTCTTGCTGCAGCTCCCCTTCGAACCCTTCGAACCAGGTGGTAATGCCGTCAGTTGAGCCGATGTAGAGGAGATCGTCTACGTAGACGATTAGCAGGATGTAGTCGGTGTTCTTCGTGAGCCGGTACATGCCTTGATCGTGCGGTAGCTGTTTGAAGCCGATGCGGATGAGGCGAGCGTGTAGGTACTGTTGTCACAGCCGCGGGGCTTGCTTGAATCTCTGCGTCAACAGGTGCGTAGAGGAATGCGTTCGCGACGTCGATTTGCCGCAGCTTCTTCTTCTTCATGGCGGCGATCGCGAGGAGAATGCGTAGTGAGGTGTGTCGGCTGACCGGAGCGAATGTTTCTGTGAAATCGCGTCCGTGTTCTTGGTCAAAACCGCGTACGACCCAGCGCGCCTTAAATTTGTCGATGGTGCCGTCAGCCTTCGTCTTCACACGGAAGACCCATTTTCCGGTAAGAATCCTCTTGTTTCGCGCTACACCGATGGGGACGACCTTCCATGTGTTGCGCTCCTCTAATGCCTTCAGCTCCCTGTCCATGGCTTCGCGCCATTTTTCCCTATGTTCCCCCCCCAGAGCCTGCTGAACCGTCGCAGGCTCCTTAGGAATGGCTGCGCCGTGGACTGCGGTGACGAGCCCAAGTATCTGGAGTCCACTCTGTGTGTAGCGGGGGAGTGTGGTGTCCTCGGGATAAACTGCTTCGTCTCCCGCTTCTGGATCAGGTGCGAAATTTGGTCCTACGCGTTTTGCTTCGACGGTGTTGACTTGTGCTGGTGTAACGTAACCGTTGTCGGCGAAGTGGTAGTAGACTTCGGCGTTGATGCTTTCGCGAGGATTGTCGTCGTCCATCGGAACGTCCACTGAGCAGTAGGGAAGAGGTCCGGCTTCTTCCGAGGCTCCGTCCACATTCTGCTCGTCCCAGTCAGCTTCGTCGGCTGCCAAAGCGAAGGCTCGGTCTCAAGGGAAACCATCGCTGCGGTCGGGGTTGCCTTCTTGCAAATTGGCGAGGTAGTATCGCATGGTGAGTCCTTCGTAGAAGATGACATCACGTGCTGCCACTGTTTCTTTTGTCTCGAGGTCGAAAATTTTCCACGCGTTGTAATGCTTTTCGATGCCCAGGTGTAGTCCCCACTGTGCGCGTTGGGAGAATCGGCCGGCTCGTGCAGATGGGGGTCGGTACTGTACCATGCAGCCGAAGACTCTCAACATTTTTGTGCTGCCCAATTTTCCTGTCCACAGCAGATGCGGTGATGCGTTGTTCGGGAGTGACGACGAAGAAAGCAAATTGTGCAGCATGACGGCGTGGTCCATTGCTTCGGGCCACTGGTGGTTGGGCAGATGCATGCCACGTAGCAGCTTGCGCATGGTGTTCTGGAGCTTCCTGTTCATCCTTTCTGCTACGCCTTGCTGTTGATGGGCGTAGGGAAGGGAGATGAGCCGCTTGATTCCCTTCTCTGCCAAGTACTGCTTGAACCTCTGTGAGGTGTATTCTCCTCCCCCGTCTGACTGGAAGCTTTTCAGTTTTACCCTCGATTCTCTTTCTGCTACAGGGAGCCAGGCGACGAACGCTTCGAACGCCATGTCCTTGCTTGGGAGATTCAGGTGCCAGACGTAACGTGTCGCGGCGTCGATGAACGTGATGGTGTAATTGTACGCGTTCTGTCCAGGCTCGCGGTTGCATAGGATATCGCTGTACACCTTCTCGAGTGGTGCGTATGCAGGTGCGCTTGGATTGTGATGCGAGACAAAAGGCTGATACGGTAAGTCGGCTTCGGGGCAGGTGAAGCACGTTCCACGTGCTCGTTGAAGTTCTCTGCCGTCGGTCAGTAGGAGTGAGTCTTTGTCGAGCACGCCTGCTCTTATCGTGTTGTTTAACACCGTGTTGCTTGGATGTCCTAACCTGGCGTGCCAGGTACTTTCGCTGGCGCGGTATCCGAGCGAGCGTCGGTACATGTCGGAGTTGGAGTAGAAGCTGGCGGTGACGTTGACACTTCGGTGGACTTCTAGTCGTGCCGGGTTTAACTGCTGTGCGGGTGTCGGTGGCGTGACGTCGATCAGGAGTGGTGCCGTTGAAGGACCAGCGACTGGTGTTGATGTTCCTGCTGCTGCTGTTGTTGTCTCTGCTGCTGCCGATGTTGTCTCTGCTGCTGCCGATGTTGTCTCTGCTGCTGCCGATGTTGTCTCTGCTGCTGCCGATGTTGTCTCTGCTGCTACCGATTGTTGAATAGTAGCTAACGCCCTTGTTCTTTCTGCCTCAGGTATCGTGTGGGAGTGCCAGAAGCCGCCGGAGCTGAAGTATGGATCAAGATCTGGAGGGTGGGTCCAGGAGGTGAAGGTGACGATGCCGTCGCTGTCTGCTGTGCCGAGATCTGGAACAAAATCAAGAACGAAGACGTTATTTTTCAAGATCTCCTTTCCGATGTAGAGGCCGCCCTTCCCGTGGTACAGCTTGAACTCTTGAGCGGTGCTGTCTGCTTCAAGGTGGATGCCCTTCGCCATCAACTGACTGACGCTCAGTAAGTTGTAGCCGAGGCCTTTCGCGATTAAAACCTTAGACATCTGCAGAATGACGTTTGTCTCTCGTGACTGAAGTTGTACTACGCCTTGTCGTCGTGTGCGCAGGTTCTGGTTGTTGGCGACGGTAATGACTACTTCACGTTGAAGTTGATATTCTCGCTGTACGAAGCGTCCTGAAGAACACATGTGCTGTCCGCAGCAACTGTCCAAGAACCACGTGTCCTTTCCGGATGGCTTGCTTTGGGCGATAGCTGCGTATGTCGGGTTCGGTTGAAGTGACTCGCGGCGAGGTGTCGTTTCGTCGAGTTGTTCTTCCGGTGAGTAGTACGGTGGTGATTCCGTGACGCAAGAGTCACTCAGTCTTGCCATGCAGCTGACGATGTTTCTTGTTCCTTGTGCAGGTTGTCCCGTTGGTGTCGTTGAAGCTTGAATTTGAGTGGTGGGGCTCGCTTGCGTTGAAGCGACTTGGCTGCTTGAAGGTCGAAGCTGTCGTTGGGGAGGTGTTGACTGTTGTCGATTCGGGCAGTGCGTGCGTGGGTGCCCTGAAGTCTTGCAGATGTGGCAGAAGGGAGGTACTGGCTTCGGTTGTTGCTGTCGATTGTTGTAGTTGTTGTAGCGCCGCTGAGTGTGGAGCGCGAATTCTGATGCTGATGTCTTCCTCTTGTGCCTTTCTTCTTGCAGGTCCATGTCTTGTTGCTCGGCATGAATTTTGCGCAAAGTGCTGTCTCAAAGATTCTTCCGTGGGCCCGGAGAATGGCCTTTGTGGCGCGCCATTGAGGACCGAGGCCGCCGATGATGACTGTCACAAAGGCGACTTCAGATATCGCCCCTCCGCATCGAAGGAGCTTGTCGCGCAACTCGCGACAGCGGCTGATATATGCCATCCCCTTTTCCCCTGGTTTCATTTCAACTGTTGTCAGCTGCGCCATTAACCTGCTCTGATTTACACTGTCTGTTGCTTGATACAGGTTCTTCAAGTGGCTGTATGCGAGCTCCGCGGAGTTGCCGTAACCCCGGTAAGACCGTATATTCTGCTGCTGAGTCGGTGTGATGTTC